TAGCTTATTCCTGGTAGCAATCGGGATATATAGTTGATTTACACGGTTGCCTTTGGATGTATACCAAGGGATAGATTCGTTGAAGCAAACTGAAATGTTGGAGTAGAAACTGTCAAGGACAGTATCAATGTCTACCGAGGAGAAAAAGGTATTCCAGTCTTGGCAACGAATAAAAGATTGCGTTGTTTCCCACTTAGCCTTTGAAAAGTCCCTGACTTTTATTGTCCGACGACGGTCTTTGCCTGACCCATTTGCTGCTAGGTTAAAGGTGGAAATGACCGTGTTGTGGTCGCTACCAGGGAATAAAGGCCCAACTCGAGTGTTGACGGGAAGGATGTTGTGTGTGAAGATTAGATCCAAGATGTTGGATTTACGTGTGGGGTGATTCACATTTTGTGTCCATCCATAGAATTCAACCGAATTTATAAAGCGATCAGTGTATTTAGGAACATTTAGCCTATTCCACTGGATACCAGGCATGTTAAAGTCGCCAGCTATTATTTTATAGTCAAAGTTTAGGGAGGAGACGTGTTCGAAAATTTCACACAAATGGTTCGTTGTATTAATATCAGAATTGGGCGGGCGGTATATACATCCCAATAAAAGTCTTGTATTGAAGTTAGTGTTGAGTGTAACCCATACTGCGTCTGTAAGTGAGCAACCCAAATCATCAACTTCTACAGCGTGGAATTTGTTGCTAACAAAGATAAGACAACCACCACCACGTCCTTCTTCTCTGCCATGTCTAAAGTGTGTGTATCCTGGTGATTCTAAAAGTCTGTCATTGAAGTCAGATGGTAACCAGGTCTCGGTAACTAACAGTACAGAAGGCATACAAAGTGAAAGTAAGGAGTGAAGGTATGGAATTTTATTGCAGATAGAACGAGCGTTTATAAGGAAAAGAGTAAATGATCTTTGATCAGTGGTAAGGGCTGAGGCAAAGTGAAGGAGATGATGATGTGATTCAGCTGAGGTTAAATGAAAATTAGATGACAGTCTGACCGGTACATCGAGTGTTCGGTCCATAAAGCCTTCATCGTTTTCGTTAAGGTTCTGTGAAAAAGAAGATGGTTTCCATGGTAGATCACTCAGTTCACGATCGCATGGAGATAGGCATACGGAAACTGGGGTATCCTGGGTGTCTGAAGAGGGCACATTTGAGAGTAAGGAAACAGACTGTTTGACATCAGGTTGATTGGTGGCATTACTGCCGGTTGCGGGGAAAGCCAAAAGACTTTCACTTATCAAAGGAGTGCACAGCTGAAGGGGGCGTTGGCAAAAACCACAACCCTAAAATATCCTGATCTAGATGCTGCTCTTATACCAGTCTCAGACGCGTCAGATGGGGCTGTGGAGGCAGCTCCGTTTAATATTGGCTAGGAACCAACAGAGTTCTCCCCTAAACAGCTAGATCCTACAGAAACGATGTGTTCTACTTTTATCAAAGAGATGCCAGATATCTACCTGGCAGATAAACACTTACTCCACATATTAATATAATATATATTTATTCCTATCTGTGTATGACACACCAGTTGTACAGGCATGGATAAGTATTGTTTACATTACATCAATTTGGTTTATGGTGAAATTACATGGTGACTGTCGCTTCGGATATAAGTTTGTGAGTACAATCTGCTAACTAGTCATTCAATGGAGCACATTAAGAAATATAGAAATATTGTCTTCACATTAACAAAAATCCCAAGTATGTGTTAGATGGATTACCAATATTTGGGAAAAAATAAGGCTTGAAGTCAATTCCTCCATACAACTTTGGTGTGTGCGGCATCGTATCTTGTTCTTGATTTGTATTGAAATTGGGTACTAATTTGAAATGAGTGATTCATATGTATGATTTTGTCAGCATTTTTATCGTAAGTAACGCCAGATGTGAATTCTACTGAATGCAGATTAATATTGATTGTTGTCACGCAGAGGCCAGACCATTCGCGTCCTACACATATAACAAGCCCCTACTTACGCACTCAATACGGAAACAGACAAATAATCACCATGCGATATTCATCATCCTGATCTTCCATCACAGCCCATCAGTAATATAAAATACTTGAAAGAGACAGAGGACTGTGTGGCTGATGTACTGTCCAGAATGCAGGTGAATACAGTGTGGACTACAAAACACTGGCTGAAAGCTCATTGTCAAGCAAATAGTCTATTTGATGATGTCACTGCATATTAACAGATGTGGTGATTGACTATTTCTATCTTTGTATTGTTTAAATACTTACTGTTGTTTGTTAATATATTTATTATTTTGATTTGAAATATAATTCCGCCAAATACAAATTCCTAAATTCATCCCTTTCAGTGTTTTGGTTGAGTTCCTGTAATCCGGTCATTGCGAAATACAATACTACTAGTACAAATAACAATCACATTTTGGCGTCGCAATGGAATTAAATAATCTTGGAAAGTTTCCTATAAATGGTTCACCGCGGGAAATCTCCGATTATCTTGAATGTTTCGACGCATAGTGCATGTCGAAGAATGTTCGCGATGACAAAATTCCAGCTCATTTTATTACTGCTATTGGGCTAGATGCGTACAGCCTACTGAAAACTCTGTCATTTCCAGATAAACCAATTTCTCTGTCTTATGATAAACTCCGTGAACTTTTAACAAATCACTTCCACATAACAACTCTCGAAACACGAGAGAGGGCTCAGTTCAACAAACTTGTTCGTGCTCCCAACCAGAAGATTAGAGACTTTATTCTTCAACTTCAGATACAAGCTTCAAAATGCAACTTTGGAGATCAGCTCCATACTCAACTACGTGATCGTCTAATTGCTGGAATCAATATTCCTAAGTTAGAGAAAGAGTTGGTTCAGATACCTTCCTGCACCTTTCAAACTGCCAAGGATTTATGTATTACGTATGAAGATGTCAACAGTGACTACCCAGCTGCCACTACGTCAGCGTCTGATGTCATGCTGTCCAAAGTTGATAATAAATGTGTTCATAGAAAGAAATCCAAACTGCCGTCCACATGTAATAGAATGCACACAGAAAGCAAGAACATCAAACCGTGTTTTTCATGCGGAAAACTTCATCTACGAAGCACTTGTCGTTTTCGGAGTGCCAAGTGCCATAAATGTGGTAAAATTGGGCACATCGAGTCTGTCTGCAGAAGTTCAAATAATTACGCTACTTATGATCCTCCCAAACTGTCTGATAAAATGAAGTCAATGTCTCTTTCAACTTTTCACAATACTCAATCTCATCTAGTGAGAAACTTCACTACAAGTTCAGGTAAGTCTCACTGTTTTATAATTGATACTGGGAGTACTGGATCTATAGTTTCTAAGAAAGATTTACTATCGCTTTGTAAGCATGCTCAGGTAGACCCTACTACTAGTTCAATTACAGGCATAACTGGTCATAAACTACCTCTTATTGGTGCAACTAACATTTGTTTGAAGTCAGACAGTGGTAATTTTGTGAATATCCCCTTTCTTGTTAGTGAATATGGTCCATCTTTATTGGGATTGAAAGCCCTTAGATTGTTAAATGTTGAAATCTCACTTTGTACTGAGTTGTTTGATGAATCTTTGTTCAGAGAATTAGTTTTTCAATGTTCAAAGTGTGTAGGTGGCATGCAGATTCAGCCCATCCATCTTGAAATAGAGGGTGATCCTATCTTCCTAAAGCGCCGATTAATTCCATATGGTTTGCGAGATGCAGTTAAGAAAGAGTTGGACAAGTTGGTTGAGCAGGGCATACTTATGCCAGTTGAATCTTCGAATTGGGCTACTCCCATTGTCACACCACTAAAGGCTGACGGAAAAACACCGAGAATTTGTGGTGACTATCGTCTTACACTCAATAGTCGTCTTCTACAGCAAAGTTGCACTACGCTAGAAAGCGAAGATATTCTCTACAAGCTACATGGCTCAAAATACTTTTCCAAAATAGATCTAAAAGATGCTTATTTGCAAATTCCTCTGGACGAAGCTTCTAATGCATTAACAACCATTAATACTCCATTTGGATTGTTCAAGTATAAGTTCTTGCCTTTTGGTTTAAAGGTTTCTCCTGCAATATTTCAAAAAGTAATAAATCAGATGATAGACGGATTAGATGGTGTTGAGTCTTACCAAGACGACATTATAGTTCATGGTCCGAACATCGAATTGCATAATGAACGTCTTTTAAAACTGTTCAGGCGTTTCTGTGAGAAAAATGTTCTTGTTAATCCATCTAAATGTCATTTTACTTTGTCGTCTGTATCATGCTTGGGATATACAGTAGACTCTGAGGGTTTCAGACCTGATGCTAGGCGTTTGGCACCTCT